TCTTCAGTTCTGTTAGTTTTTGCTTGATATAGTTTGGGGCTCCATTATTTGCTGTATATATATTTGTAGTTGTCATACCTTCTTGATGAATTGACCCTTTTTCAATATATAATATCCTTTGTCTCTCATAGCAATTTTTCACTTAAAGTCTGTTTTGTCTTGTGGTAGCATAGCTACCCAGCTCTCTTCTGCATGGAATATCTTTCTTCATCCTTTCATTTTCTTTTTTTTTTCTTTTTCTTTTTTCCACCACCTGTCAGCAGGAACATCTATTTACTTTCAACCTATTTTTGATTTTCATAAGAACCTTTAAAAATACTCTTCCAGTCTTTGCAGATTGCCTGTTTATTGGATCACTTCTTCAGTGTTTAGCCAGTCCATTTACAACTCTGCCTTAGTCTTCACTTTCTGTTGGCTCAGCGCTGTCAGCCAGCTTAGGACCCTCTTACCTCTTTTTAAGCATGTGTTTGCCCCGGGCATACCCTTGGCTTTCTAGATTTCCTGGTGTATGTGGGAGCTTTTCAAAGCTTTTATTCCCCAGCTTCTTCCTTCCCACACTTTTTTGCCTGGCTGTTGCTTGTGCCAACTCTCCTTGCTCTAGGTGGCTGTAACTAATACATTTGCCTCTTAATGCTTTTGGTAAGTGCCAGATCCCAGGATGCTATCCCCTACCTTGGGAAAGCTCCAAGGCAGGTGAAACTGGCCCCTAATTCAGGGAATTGCCAGACTGGTCAGAGTACATAATGGCAATATTTTTCAGAATAAGGTCCATATTGCTCCCTTTGGTACCAGCACCCTATACCAGGAATAAGGTCAGATGACTTTATACCAGCATCCTATATCAGGATTGAGGGCTGATGACTTGAGCGGACCACCAAACTTGGGGAGGGGGGCCATAGTAAGCAAGTGTATTAAAATGCCACAGCCCTTTCTCACTGAAATTCAGTAGCTTCTTTCTTCATCAAGCATTCCCTTACCTGTTAAGTTTTTTACACAGTTCCAGAGTTTCAAACAAGTTGATTCTGATTGTTTCGCCAGCTATTAATTGCTTTTGTAGAGAGCTGGAGTTTTGGAGCGCTCTACCATTTTGTGACATCAGTATGTATATACATTATTACATATCTATGAATTTCTACCTATATAGTTGAGGGATTCATAGATATTTTAAAGAATGTCAAGAAATTTATTGGTATGATAATCAGCAATTCAGGATATAGGTTACTTCTGGTAAAGAGAGGAAACGTGGTGGTGGTAGGGATGCACCAGGATGGTGGGTACGTGATTGTTTGATGTGTGATTCTTTTTATGTTTTCCGAATATTTGAAATTTTTATATAAAGTTAGGTAGTTGTGTGTATCTATATGACATATATATAACATTGTGACACTGAAGCATTTTGTTGAAGTAGAAGGTCTTGTATATGTTTATTCCAATAACAGATCTTGCTTTCCCTTTAATAAGTAGGAAATATCACACTTTAAATGCTTAAGACAAGTTCATAAAATAGAATAAGGAAGAATCTTTTACTTTTTTCTTGATGTATATAGATTGATTGTGTTGTGTTATTCTCTGGATCTTACTTTTATTGTACTCTGTCTGCAAGCTTGCAAGCTTTTTCTGTAAGAACAAGAATTGGAAGACCTGAATGTTAGTAGCTAGTTGATAGTCTACTGTTTTTATTTGTATTTTTCTTTTTATGAAGAGGAGGAAATTAATAGAATCCTGGAAATAGCACTGAAGTGGACTTTGGAAGATCTTTGTCTTTGTTCTAATATTCATCTAACAGTGTAAATTTAGACAGTTCTTATTTTCTGTGCTAGTTAATTTCTTTGTCTTGGTCCTCATCTGTAAAATAAGAATTGGACCAGATAGGTAAGGCCTATTTCACGTTGTAAAATCTGGAAGGACATCATGAGCTATGTAAAGAGAATTGACTTTGGAGCCAGGCAAATTTGTGTTCAACCACTTTCTAATTACTTAAAGTCTAAAGTCAGCTTTCAAACTCTTTTCTCATCATTAAGATGGGATTTTAACACCCATCTAACAGAGTTACTGAAGAATAAACAACATATATAATATCTCGTAAAGTGCTCACATATATAATAGTCTGTTCACTCAGATTCTCTATACCCTCATCTTGTAACTACATCCTTTGAAGGAGTAACTGAAGAGAAAACAAATAGCAATTCTTGTAACCTTTTATGTGACTTTTTTTTTTTTTTTTTTTTTTTTGAGAGGAAGTCTCACTCTGTCGCCCAGGCTGGAGTGCTGTGGTGCAGTCTTCTTGGCTCGTTGCAACCTCCACCTCCCAGGTTCAAACGATTCTCCTGCCTCAGCCTCCCAAGTAGCTGGGATTATAGGCACCCACCCCAATGCCCGGCTCATTTTTGTATTTTTAGTAGAGATGGGTTTCACCATGTTTGCCAGGCTGATCTGAACTCCTGGGCTCAAGTGATCCACCCACCTCGGCCTCCCAAAGTGCTGGGATTACAGGCATGAGCCACCACACCCGGCTGTAGTTGGCTTTTATATATGAATTGTATTTGAAGTATATATGAAATATATACTTCAAAGATCATAACTTTTCTAGAGATATTGAAGAACTTTGTCTTTACCCTCCAGGGTTTTTAAAACTTTTTTATTTATGTATTATGTTAGTATTAAATTATAATAGTATCTTTTTATAAAAGCTTAAAGATTCAGGTTAACGTTTTCTTTGATTTACCCTCTCTTTTTACCTTCTACCCTAGTATCTATTTCTTAAATAGTAACATACATACAAGATATTACATATTTTCTATGGTCCATATGAGTTTGAAAATAACTATGTTTTCCAATACTTTTTAAAATAATTATTTGTATTTCTATGTTAATTAAAATATAATACATTTATAAAATATAAATAAATAAAAAGAAAAAAACACATCACCCAGAGATAGCCTTTTAATATTTAGATGTATTTAACATTTTCACTGAAATGCCAAAGTGCAACTCAGTGCGTCCACCTGCCAGTCTGTTTTTCTCTATGCACCAATACCTCTGTATACTATTTATATTTATAAAAGCAATGTCCTGTTAGGCATACTGTTTGATTTTTTTTTTTAGATATGCAACATATCCTGAACACTCTTCTCTGTCATTAAGAAAATTTAATACAATCTTAATAGTTGCACGTTTTCCATTTATAAGTATTACAAAAATATACTGTGCTCAAAAATTATCTTTTTCACAGTTGTAATCATTTTCCTAGGATGTATTTATAGGATGAATCTAACAGAATTTCTTTTGATATTAATTATAAAATTGATCTATAGCAAAGCCTTATCTCCAGTGTAGTGATGTCTGCTTCTCTGCAATTTGGCTGGCTGTAGGCTTTGACAGTTTAAAATAATCTTTGACAATGCAATAGGTGGAAAATGTTATGGGTTGTTTTTGCATTTCATTGATTATAAGTGAGGATAAACTTTTTGGGGGGAGTAATTCTTGTGTGAAATGCTTCCTCATCTCATCATATTTCTTTTCCTTCGCTCATCTTTTGGATTGTTCCTAGTTTGATAGTTAAAAAGTGGTGTTTTAATTTAGTTTAAATTTTTACTTTTTTTATTATACATTTCTTTCCTCTGAATTATTTGCTTAATTTTTTTCTTATTTGTAGAAATTTTATATATATTAGTGAAATTAGTTTTACGTGCTATATGTATTTCAGATATTTTTCTTGATCTATGGTTTTTGAAATTGGTCATAATGGTTTATCAGATTCCTTTATAGTCACTGGCAAAAGTATTGACCAGAATATAGCCCTCTCATATAGTACTAGAGATTTTTCTAACAGATAAGTCAGTAACATTACTCTTTCAGTATATTTATTTAATTAACTATGAATTTGCCTAAAATAAATACTCAACTTTTATTTTTACTCCTTTTTCTACTCCCAACTCTGTAGAAAACAAAAGTGGTATGTCTTGGAGAATGTTCCACATGTACCTGAAAAGAATGTTGTGTTCTACTGTTGGTGGGTGAAATAGCTAGTAGGCCTAGTTGTTTTATACTGCTGCAAGTCTTCTATTTCTTTTTTGATCTTCCTATTCTATGCATTATTGAATATCGGGTATTGCTGCCTCCAACTGTTGTAGAATTGTCTATTCTTTCTTCAATTCTGTTAATTTTTGCTTGCTATAGTTTGGAGCTCTATTATTTGGTGTATACATGTTTGTAGTTGTCATACCTTCTTGATGAATTGACCCTTTTATCAATATATAATATCCTTTGTCTCATAACAATTTTTGACTTAAAGTCTGTTTCGTCCGTGGTAGCATAGAGTTCTCCAGACTTCAGTACATATATCGTCATGTAATCTTGAAACCCTCTTGCACCTCCGGAGTGCACTACTTATGTAGCTTATTCTGATTGTTCTTCTTTCTTTTAGTAAGTTACAAAGCAGCAGCTTCTGATCATTAATATGCTGGTTAGATTATGAAGAGGTAATTATGCATCCTGTTGGATTTAGTACAAGAACAGCTAACTGGGAGGAAATTCTGTGACGTAGTATCTCTCAGTAAGAAGCACTCTGTTAGGGATGAAGTCTTATAATAAAACCTGCTTGTCTGAGATAGACATAGACTTTTGTGGAAAGCCTGTATTTCTTCTTACAGAGCATAGCCTGTTATATCTCATTCTATGTTTTACTTGATAAAAACTTCTGGAGTCAGATGAGTTATTAGCATTTATAGTTATAACTTTGCAGACCTTTTGGTTTTCATGAATATGTCAAAGGAAAGATGAAGGAAGGTGAACCAGATATTAATTGATGTCATTATGTTTCCATAATATTTCGTGATTGTATGTGTATGTTCTTAGTTATAAACTACTATATGTTATTTTAAAATTTGTGACTTCTTGATTTTTTTAGGGAACATGCCTTCACAAAATAATCTTATCTGTAAATATTAAATTTGTTTAGATTTCAAGTGTCATATGTTACAAAGACTTACGCTTTTATTTGTTAAAAATCATTAAATTTGTTTAAAATTCTCACATGTTCCTTCATAACCTAGTTTGGGATAGTAATTGTTCCATGATGTTTTTATGTCTTATTTGTCTTCCCTCTTGATTCTTTCATCTAAAATTTTTAATCAGTACATCAAACTTTACTTTGTAGATAAGGTACTCAACTGTGTGGGACACTACATAAATCCTAAAAGACTGCAATAAAGTGGCGATGTCTCGGGAACCCACCCCACCTCTACCTGGAGATATGTCTACTGGTCCCATAGCAGAAAGCTGGTGTTACACACAGGTACATGCTCTTAAAAATCCCTCACTTTATGTCACTTATAAATTTTACAGTATTTTGAGAATATTATTGTAAAACAGTTTGCCATAGTTATTAGAAGTGTTAGAAGACTGGATCATAGGATGTTGAATATGTAGCAAATTAAAAATATTTTATAATGTCATCATTATAAAAGTGGTTTTCTGAATCTCTTAGGTTAAAGTAGTAAAATTTTCCTACATGTGGACCATTAATAACTTCAGTTTTTGTCGAGAGGAAATGGGTGAAGTGTTAAAAAGTTCAACATTTTCATCTGGCCCAAGTGACAAAATGAAATGGTAAGATTTTTGTTTGATTTGGATGTTTGTTTGTTTTTGATGTAACCATCAGCTGGTCATGATTTTGTTGTTACTGTTCCTGAATAAGTATTAATATAATTTCATATTAGATTGGTAATATGTTCCTAATATTGTGGAGTATTATAAAGAACTGTGAGGATGTTGACAGGAGTGCTGTTTTTGGCATTATTAAATGATTTCAGTATTATCCTCCCCCACCCCTTTCTCTCTCTCTCTCTTTCTCTCAATGCTTTTCAAGTATTATATTCCTCCATGTGAGCTTATTGTTTTATTTTAGGTGCCTGAGGGTAAACCCAAAGGGATTAGATGATGAAAGTAAAGACTACTTGTCCTTATATTTGCTTTTAGTCAGCTGCCCCAAAAGTGAAGTTCGAGCAAAATTCAAATTTTCCCTACTGAATGCTAAAAGGGAAGAAACAAAAGCAATGGGTAAGTGATTTGCAAACTGATTGAAGACGTTTTTGTATAACTACGTATCATGACTTCTTCTGCACCTTTACGTAGAAAAGTTTCGGACTTTTTCCACTAAAATCTGCTTAACCTGAAACTTTTAATTTGACAATTATTTAAATCCAGCATACAGATATAATTATTTTACTGAGTCTTAAACTTCATAAAACATGTAAAAGTAGTTAATAATATTAAAATTTAACTTCTTCATGTCCTAAAATGACATCCACTTGTCACTTAGAAAAATAGCAGCTGTTAGGGCAAGTTGTCTGGTTCCTCAATGCTTGACATATATAATAGGCACTCAGGAAACATTTCTCTCTTGCCTTTTTTGCCAGGTAATAAAATCTGAAGAACAATGAGAAAGAGATAGAGTGCCCTGATATTTTGTCACTAGAATTTTTTTAGGAGTAGACTGAACACTGACTGAAAGAACCATTTTTCTTAGTTTCAGGGCCTATTAATTTCAGTCCAAAATTCACATATATAGTCAGCTGAAATGCAGTAGCCTTGAGCTTCATAATGGAAGAGTGATGTAGGAAATGTACATTGTATATGATAGGAGAATGTCTTATGAACTGCCACGTTAAATTTTAAATATTTTCTAGAAATGAATCATAAAATCAAGTAACTTTATTATGAAAAATTCCCATTCATATGCATTTTTAAATAATGTATTGCTAAAATAATATATATTTTCACATTGTCTCACCTTAAGATAGTAGAGTGTTTCAGGTAGATTGATTACTAATTTTCCACTTTAATTTTATTATTTGTATAATAAATGATTAATTCTTTCTGCAGAGGATCTTGTTTACTTCCTAATATATAGTTGTTACAGAGTACCTTAGGCATTTGAAATACTTACTTCAGATATTTATTAAATCTATTACAAATCACACGAAAAGCATCTTTTGGACTATTATGAAAAAATCCTTTTAGGGGAGAGGAGGTTACGTCTAGAGAATTAGAAATGATAAAGGACTTTATTTAGCTTTTTCACAGGTTCATGGATTTTTCTGTAGTTGAGTAAAACATATCAGTTGGATGAGTGGGCCAGGAAAGCTTAAACATGCCTTAATATTTAGAACATTTTATTTTTGAAATGGAGGCTTACTCTATTGCCCAGGCTGGAGTGCAATGACATGCTCTCAGCTAACTGCAACCTTCACAACCTGGGTTCAAATGATTCTCCTGCCTCAGCATCCCGAGTAGCTGGGATTACAGGCACCCACCACCACGCCCAGCTAATTTTTGTATTTTTTTAGGAGAGACGGGTTTTCACCATGTTGGCCAGGCTAGTCCCAAACTCCTAACCTCATGATTCACCCACCTCAGCTTCCCAAAGTGCTGGGCTTACAGGTGTGAGCCACTGCGCCCAGCCTAGAACATCAACTTTTTTTTTTTTTTTTTTTGAGACGGAGTTTCGCTCTTGTTACCCAGGCTGGAGTGCAATGGCGCGATCTCGGCTCACCGCAACCTCCGCCTCCTGGGTTCAGGCAATTCTCCTGCCTCAGCCTCCTGAGTAGCTGGGACTACAGGCACGCGCCACCATGCCCAGCTAATTTTTTGTAGTTTTAGTAGAGACGGGGTTTCACCATGTTGACCAGGGTGGTCTTGATCTCTTGACCTCGTGATCCACCCACCTCAGCCTCCCAAAGTGCTGGGATTACAGGCTTGAGCCACCGCGCCCGGCGAACATCAACTTTTAAAGGGAGAAGCAAGAAATAAGATGTATGTTCCTTACCAGATTCTGTTATTAGATGATGAGTAGTATGCCTATACCAACATATTTTGGTCCTATTTCATTGTCTTTTAGGGCCTAGATTGTTAAAAAGATCTCTTCCTTCTTCGTGAGATTTGATCTAACTTCTCTATTTGAGATCCAGAAGTCTGAAATTGCGCTCGTTGACAATGGCCAAAATTGAGTAGCCACATAGAGTGACCTGTTTCTACCTGACTTAAAACTCTTATGACTTTTGATTTATAAACACAAATATCTATAATTTTTATGATGGATGTTTGGCAAGTCCTGTTTTCATACATTTAACTGTTAATTATTTTTTAAAAGTCTCTTGGATGTTTGTTTTATTTAAATTCTATTCTCTTTTCCACCAGAAAGCCAAAGAGCATATCGATTTGTGCAAGGGAAGGACTGGGGTTTTAAAAAATTCATTAGAAGGGACTTTTTGCTTGATGACGCTAATGGTCTTTTACCAGATGACAAGCTTACATTATTTTGTGAGGTGGGTACATTTTTTATTCTAAGGAACCCCATGGTTTATTTAGTGATATGGCGAAAGTATAAACTGGATTAATACTTAAAATATTAAGTAATTGGTATAGTTCATCAAGTTTCATTTGTAACTTCTTAGCTAGAAAAAGCTGTAGAAAATTCTTAACTACAAATCAATGTAATGACCCAGTCTGGAAACATTTTATCATACTTCTAGCTATAATTTGTGTGTGCACTTATGCAACATACTACATTTTTCTTCTTCTTCTTCTTCAAAAGACTGTGCATGTGAATATGTGAACATTACTAAATATTTCTTCATTCTCAATAACTGACATAGACTGTCAAATTTTTTTAAAATTTCAGATCGATTATATTAAACATTATTACTGAGAGTTTTTCAGTTTGAACCCGGACGTACCTGGAAAACAATAGGAAGCTTTCTGTTTGTTCAGGCATTTGGATTAATCTAATCAAATAGCATTCTAAGAAGTAGTTTTATGTCCAAGTCTATTGGTAAACTCACGAGGTATAACTATGTACATAGAATGGCATATTTTGAAAGTTACCAGTATTGCCTCTGCCATTAATGTACATTTATGATTTGTCCTAATTTGAGGTTTGGATTTGCTTTTGTCCTGTTATCATTAGGTAGTTTTATCTGTATGAATTTTTGAGATTCATCTTAGGACTGAATTCAGAGATTATGTTGTTAACCAGTATAATTTAAAGAGAATATCCATGAGTAACAATTTTATCAGAATATTTAAGGCAGTTGACAGTTTTCATAAGAAAGCTAGTTGAAAAGATTTTTATCAAATACTCAAGGTTAAATATATTTCAACAGATTATCGTGGACAGATGAATGTCTTAGAAGCATAATAACTTCTTTAACTGTAACTTAAGTTAGTGATAATATTTTTATTAGTAAATGTGTAAGATTTCTTGGCAAGTTTACAAACTAATCGTATGACATTATATTATGTCAGAAGAGTAATTGAAATATGGCCCCAGAGACTATATAAGTGCATCTAATGTTTTTACTTAGACAAGTTAAATGAACTGTATGATATATTTGTTATGAATATAATTATTTGGTTGACAAAGCACATAGCACAAGTCTTACCATTAAATAATTGGGAAGAAAACAAGTATTTGTTGCTAATCTGCAGATATTCTACATGGTGTTCTAAATAAATATGGGTTATGCTATATAAAACTTTTAGCACCCTTAATGTGGAGTCTTCCAGAATTTTAGCATTTATCCTAAATTTTAACATGTAAAATTTTTAAATGTTAGTTTAGAACAGAAAGGGTCTTAAAGCCTATTTAACCCAATTTTAACAAAAACAAAAAATAGCCAGCTAAAATCATTTTGGGAATGAACCTTTTTAGAAGATAGCTTTTTTTTTTTAGAATTGAAATAGTGTTTACAGATATTTTCCTCAGTACACTGTACTGGAACCTAGACAACTAAGAAATTCAGAAATAAGGCTGAAATTAAGTTTAATAATTTTTTTGTATGTTTGGTATGCATATGCATATGCTACGTTTTACATGCTAGTGACCTCAAGAAATATATTAGACCCAACATGACATGTATTTTGAAGTTGGCATTGATCAGTTTCCTTTTTGGATCCTGAAATACACATCTTTTTGCTGATTTAGACATTTGTACCCTGGGCACCGTATTTAGCATAGGGGGGCAAAAGGTACTTTTAACTAACATTCTTCATGCCCTCCATGGTTTCTTCCACCCCGCTCATGGATGCCCTTCCTTCTACAGAATCTCCAGCACTGCTTGCAGAAGAGGAGGAAGCATTGCGCTACCCTTCCTAAAGAACTGCCTCCTCCCCCTCCCCTGCAAGTGGTGCTGTAGACAGGTAAGGCAGTTGGGTGCTACCATTTTGTGCAAAACATAACTTAATCTTACAAGTTCCCTGCAGTGGTTAAAGTGGCCAGAGATAAAGATTGGTAGTAGTGTAAGCAGCTCTGACCTCTTTCCCAAAGTGACACAGAAAACAGGAATTGAGAAATAAGTGGGAAAACTAAAAAACTGGTTAGTTCAATTTATCTTTTGAAGTCTAACAGATTTTAAATGTTCTAATAGACCTGTGCTATTTCATGATATATAGGAAAAGTATATATACAGATAAAATATATATATAAATGAGTATTTCATGAGGTTTAACTAGCTCATTTTTAAAGGACACATCTTTTTCCCCACCCTGTTTATCTTTTGCTAAAAAGGTGTCTTAGTCCATTTTGTGTTGCCATTAACAGAATACCTGAGACTAGGTAGTTTTAAGAGAACAAAATTTTTATTGGCTCATAGCTCTGGAGGCTGGGAAGTCCAAGATTGAGGCTACTTCTGGTGCAGTCCTTTTTCTCACATCATAACGTGGTGGAAGTCATCACATGGTGAGAAAGAGAAGAGGTGAGGGGAACAGTGAGGGTAGTTGGAAGGTAGGAGGAAGCGTGTGCATGTAAGAGCATGCTGGACTGGCCTTAATAAACCCACTCTCTCAATAAACACATTAATCCATTCATGAAATTCGAGTCTTTATGACCTAGTTATCTCTGAAAGGTCTCACCTCTCAACATTGTTGCATTGGGTATTAAATTTCTGACATGAACTTTGTGGAATACATTCAAATCATAGCAGATAGGCTTTCTGTTTTAAAATAATTTTGATAGTGGGTGGAAGTTGGGCTTTGTTTTCTAAAAAGCCCTTTCTTGGCAAAATGAAAAGTTGACTATCCTATTTCTGTTATCGGCTTTTTTTTAAATTACACCAATCTATGAAAGTCAAAGAGTCTAAAACCTGCTATTCTGGAAGATATTCATGTGAAATTCAACTGTTAAAAGTTTCTCACTTTGGAGCTGGTGTGGTGGGTGGTGGCTAGTTGATTAAAATGGCAAAATTGTACTACTACGCAGTATTGGAAATTCCTGGCTTTTAAAATTAGTTGGAAAATTCAGGTTTCAAAAACTAGAACCAGTAGTTACTTAGTTCCACACTAGAAGAGACCCAAATGTTTCAGGATAATTACAGATTAGATCTCTCAAACGTTCTTGTCAGTCTAAATTATATTCTCTGGGTGGAGACAAAAGCAAATTTGAAAAAGCACTATCAAATGAGTTTGAGGTTTTGCTTTGCAATATTTAACAATTTTGAGATTGCACATTTGCCTCTTTTTAAAAAACTTTTGAAAGAAGCATAAATTTGACCTCAGGAGAGGATCTCAGCCTTTTTCCTGAATTTTTTATTCTAGGTTCCATTCAATAAGAGTATTCATTATCTGCATTTGAGTATGTAATAGATAAAACTAAATTTTTATCATTTTCTTAATTACATATTAAGAAAATCATCAGAATCCATTGCATAGGCCAATTTTAATTAGATCATTAATTCCTCCTTTATAAGTAATCTCTTGAATACTCTTTGGAGTACGAAATGTTAATTGTGTGTCTTAGTTAAACTTTGTGGTTGCTATGATAATACTATGTAGTTAGGTATGTCAATAATACAAGTCTTCCGAATTGTTTTTGCTTGTACAATATACAAATATAATATCAGTATCTGTGTCTGATAATTTGTCTTTATTTTTTTATCCTTTTATTTTTATTACCTGATTTTTTTGCCACATTTTTACATTAATACATTATTTTGAATTAGGTTAAGACACAGTAAGTAGAATTATTTCTGCAATTAAGTACATCATCACATTTTGTAACTTCACTGTATATATCATGCAAGTCATTAAACTTATCCAATTTTTTTCTGTCTAGTAATTTCAAAAGCAGTACTTGATATGAACAAATAAATACTATTAAGGTCTAAGGAGCTGATCCATTATTAAACCTTGAATATTAATACCAACATTTTTTGTCTATATCAGGTTATTATGTGTAGTGGAACAGGGCAATTGGGTAAGGATTAGTGAAACTTTTTTTCTGTTTTATAGTTATTAAAATTTTAGACATAATTTGAGTGATTAAAAACTTGATAATGTAGGAGAACCTTTATTGGTAGATATATTTATTTACACAGTATCTTGATAGCTCCCATACTTGGAGAAACATCTCACAAGATTGTTGTAATAAATTTAATAAATTACATTATTTGTAATAAATGTAATAAAACACAATTTTATCATAATTGTGTTAATGTTACTAATTTTAAAATATATTTTTAAAAATATGTACAAAGAGCTGTAAAGAAAGGAGTCTGGAGATTTTGGTCTAGTCTTCCTCTAGTATTAGCCAGCACAACGTATGTTGGAACACTTTGTTTACTTTGTCTTTATCTTGTTATCTCGGTTTGAAATCCCTTAATAAAATAAGGTGAATAGATGATTTCTATGATACATATGATTTCAAAAGGTTAATATGTAAGTTGAGGGGGAAAAGTGGTTACTAAAAATATCCTCGGAAAAATAAAGATTTTCTAATTTTTCTTGGAGTGTGTATTCATTCACTTAAGATATATGTTTTTACGTCTGGATGTATTGGAACTTCTGAGACTTAATCTTTTCCAAACATTTTACATTGGACCATTATTAAATTTCATGTGTCTGTTAGCATGTTGGTAGTTTAGTAAATACATTTATTTCTGATTCTGTTTTCAGCATAGTTTACTATATGTATGTGTGTCCTTATTTATACTTTTATTTAATAAAAGCCTTATGAAATATTGTTAAATGAATGCAGCTATCTATTGCTGCATAACAAATGATTCCAAAATTTAGCAGTTGAAAACAGCAATAGACAAGTAATGTAGCACTTTTTGTTTAAAATAAAAAGTCATTTACTCTGAAACATTTACTAGTTAAGGTAGTATTTTCTTTAAATGTATTTTTTTACATGTATTAAATGTAATGTAAAAATTTTTAATAGTGTAGTAGAATCCATTTTTTTTTTTTTTTTTTTTTTTTTTGAGACGAAGTCTTACTCTGTTGCCTGGGCTGGAGTGCAGTGGCACGATCTTGGCTCACTGCAACCTCCACCTCCCAGGTTCAGGCAATTCTCCTGCCTCAGCCTCCTGAGTAGCTGGGATTACAGGCATGTGCCACCACGCCCAGCTAATTTTTGTATTTTTAGTAGAGACGAGGTTTCACCATGTTGGTCAGGCTGATCTCGAACACCTGACCTCGTGATCCACTCACCTCAGCCTCCCAAAGTGCAGGGATTACAGGCATGAGCCACCGTGCCCAGCCAAATCTGTTTTTTTTTTTAAAGTGGTGTGTGGCCAGGCGTGGTGGCTCACGCCTGTAATCCCAACACTTTCGGAGGTCAAGGCAGGTGGATCACTTGCTCAGGAGTTCCAAGACCAGCTTGGCCAACATGGTGAAACCCCTTCTCTACTAAAAAATACAAATATTAGCCAGGTGTGATGGTGCATGCCTGTAATCCCAGCTACTCAGGAGGCTGAGGCAGGAGAATCACTTGAACCCAGGAGGCAGAAGTTGCAGTGAGCTGAGATCACACTGCTGCACTGCAGCCTGGGCGACAAAGCCAGACTTTGTCTCAAAAATCAAAAATAAATAAAAAATAAAAGTGGTGTGCCAGACCCAGTCAATAGTGTTTTCAGATATTGTTCAGTATATATTCCTCTTTGATGGGAAATAACTTATGTTATATTGGAAATAATACTGTAATTATACCTATTTTTATTTCATAAGTAATAAAAGGAATGCAAATTATAAAAAAACTAAATTATATTGCTCTTGCTGTTGATCTTCCATAAAAGATTTCCATGAACTTTAATAATTACAGTTGCTTTTGTGGAAGTTTTTGTACTTTAAAATTTAAATCAGTTTAATATGTATTTAAATTAGTTTTACTCCAAGTGAAACATTAGGAATAAAACTTTTAAAAACTTCTCAATTTGCATATCATGGACTAATTTTATCACTTTTCTTATACTGTAAAAAGTCATTTTGACTCTTATGCAAAATGTTATGTTTATTGTACATATAGTAAAATTTAAATGTAAGGTAGATTTGAAGTGTGAGGAAATAAGAAAATTTCTTCACCTCACAGTGATGTATTCTTGTTTGAGTTTGTATCATATTGTGGCTTTTCTCTTGAGAAATATTTTTGTAATTACTTTAATAATCAAGCAGTCTAACCAATCGATAAGTCATTTATTAACATAAAATATATTGAAAAAGATCTGTATTATTTCTAATGTTTTTATTTCTCTTCTTTTAATTGTGTTTTTAATTTCAGTTTCTGGATATTAGAATTTTTGATGGAGTACATTGAATTATCCAAATGATCTTAAACATAAAAAGTTGAAGTATAGACTTAAGCTAATTATTGATATTATTTTGTGAAAATGTTTTTCTTACTGCCCTTTTTTATTAGGTGAGTGTCGTACAAGATTCAGTAAACATATCAGGACATACTAATACAAATACTTTGAAGGTGCCTGAGTGTCGACTAGCAGAAGATTTAGGTAATCTCTGGGAAAACACAAGATTTACAGACTGCAGTTTTTTTGTGAGAGGACAAGAATTTAAAGCTCATAAATCTGTGCTTGCAGGTACTTTTTACTTATGGGGTCATATAGTACATTTAAAAAATACATTTATACATAAAAATAATCATGTGTAATCTTGTTACAGCTCGATCCCCAGTTTTTAATGCCATGTTTGAACATGAAATGGAAGAAAGCAAAAAGGTAAACATGGCTTAAAGGTTAATATTTAATTTATATAAATGTAGTTAGTTGTATGTTTTAAAAGTAATAGTGCATGTTCTCATTGTCATACTGTGATAAGTAGGGAAAATTTTTAGAAACAAATTGGAAAAAAATGTGTTTTGTAATAAAACAATAGATGTAGCTCCAAGTGGATGTGCCATGATTATTCCAAGGAACAGCTATTTTTTATGCCCATCTAGTAGGTAAATTGGATAGGTGTTATCCAAAAGGGTCATAACGATTTGAGAAGTCTCTGTTCAAGGTATAAATATTCTCCCCTTGTACTTTATGGATTGAATTTTGGAATCTGTTTTCTAGCAACAAAAATAACATAGATTATGTCAGTATTAGTGTATACCAACTGTAATCAAGGTGTTACCTACTTCACTCCCCAGATGTTTCCCTTTCACTTGTCATCATGAAATGTACTTATGTTAGAGATCAGAGGTTGATTCTTTGCTGTTTGCCTAACATGTGAACCATAGGGTTCCAACTGGACAACTCCAGAGTTTATTCATGTGGCTCTGTTTTATTCTTTCTGCAGAACTAGAGACTACAATAAAATAACTGCTTTCTTTCTCGAAATTTTGGTTTGGGGAGATACTATGATCAGCCTTCTGATTGCTTCTAAGTGGGAAGACATCAATGATGTCATATATTGTTGACATCAAGGCGTCAGAAAAGTTTGCTGTTATTTAGAGTTAGATATTTAGCTTTGTTGAGCTCAGCAAAGAAACTAAATACAAAAACATAGCAGTACAAAAGCGCTAGTCCTCTTTGGACTTGACTATTTTTCAATAAGCAAGGAAGTGTCAGTATGATAATGCATGCCATTTTTGCAAATGGGAGAATTCTGAGATAGTGGACTTTATTGTCACCTCTGATACCTTGCCCTACTTTTGCTTAATTCTGGGACTAGAACTGTTGTTATAGGGTCTTAGGTGTTTTATTAGGACCTAGGGATTCAACAAAGAAAGGGTTAATAGCCAATATCTTTTAGAATTGTGTCAGAAACTTAACACGGATGTCTTTTATTTGAATTATAGTTTTCATTTTGCTTGCCTTTTTTTTTTTTTTAACCTGTTTTTAATCAAAAAATTGGGAATCCTTTTTTTATGTGGTGGTTCTTGGCTTGGTCTGAGTATCAGGGTTTGGGCTATCCAGCTGGTCATGATTCCCACCTGTCCCACAGTGTATGCTTTTCCACTTGGACTTGTCCACTTCATTTGGCCTAAGTACTTAATGAAGATTTACCTACCTCAATTTTAAAGTAGAATTTAGAAATATCTGTATATGTGTATTTGAGTTATACACTATTTTAATGTAGATTTAGGGCTTTTAAGTTACTGTCAAAGATTCACTTTGGTTCGTGTTTGCATGTTTTTTTTCTTTTTTGTGTTGTTTTTCGCTATCAGAATCGAGTGGAAATAAATGATTTAGACCCTGAAGTTTTTAAAGAAATGATGAGATTCATTTACACAGGGAGAGCACCAAACCTTGACAAGATGGCTGACAACTTGTTGGCAGCTGCAGACAAAGTAAGTAATTAGATCTTAAGGAATCAAAATATATCCTTAAGCTTGATTTATATAGAAAGCAATCATCAAATGAAAACTCCAAATAACTTGTATTATTTGTAGACAGCTCTTGATAGCTTTATGAAATAGCATACAGTGGGGTAATCTGGAAATGAAATTTTTTTAAAAAGTCATGATGTAAAAATATCTTGAGCCAGAAAGAAGTTGTTTTTTTCATGGGAGAGTAACCTGTAAATGTGATCATTTTGAGTGTATATGGATGTCCTTTTAAAAGACCACACACAGTGGCATATATAATTATAATTTTCAGATAGTCTTGAGATGTAGTGTATGACCTTTTTTTTAAAAAAAGGAGAAATATTGGATATTATGTATAACTTAATTCTCTACATGTATAGATAGGTTTTTTAATACAATAGCCTAGAAAAAGAAAAACCAATATTAAAAATTTTATAATACTCTTGTAATGGCGATTTCTTGAAGGTAGAGAAACTGCAAAAAACATCAGAAAAATCTGTAAGCCATTGGTTCTCAAAGCACATTCAGTATACAAGCGCACATATGCATAAATGTATGGATATATGTATATTTGCATATGCATGTGTTGATGGATGGTATGTGTGTATATATACACATCGTTTGAAAAATGTTACCATTGGGTAAACTGGACCAAGTGTATATGGAATCTGTTTTTTTCTGACAACTGCACATGAATTGACTATCTCAATAAAAACTTAAAAATACGATTTACAATAGCAGCATCATCAGTTATAAATACACAGATATACACATGAAAAAAGATGTTTATAGCCTGCACGTAGAAAATTACAAGAGTATATTGCGTGATGCTGAGGTCTGGGGTATGATTGATTCCATCATTCAGGTAATGATCATAGTACCCAATAGGTAAGTTTTCAGCCCTTGCCCCCCTCCCCATCCATCCCATCTAGGAGTCCTCAGTGTGTGTTGTTCCCATCCTTATGTCCATGGCATCACAAAATATGCCTTTATAACAAGCCTGCACATGTATCTCCCTGATTCTAAAACAAATATTGAAAAGAAAAAAAGAAACTCAGGAAGACTTAAATAAGTACATAACTCTTGTCCATGGACTGAAAGTCTCAATATTGTTAAAATATCAGTTGTCTTTAAAATTGGTAGTATAGTCAAGATCCTAGCAGTCTTTTTTCTTTTTTTTTTTTTTAGAAGTTGACAAACTGATTTAAAACTTTATGTGTAATAACTTGGGGGGAAAAGAATAAAGTAGAGGACTAACACTGCTTGATATCATTACTTATTATAAAGCTTTAGAAATTAAGACAGTGTTTGTATTCGTGTCAAGATGGACAGATAATGGAACAGAGTAAAGAATATGAATATGAAAATAGACCATCACATTATGAATATTTAATTTTTGACAAAAGTACAAAGACAGTTTGGTAGAAAAAGGATAATCTTTAAACAAGTGGTGCAGCAGCAATCGAATACCCACATGTGTACCTCAAACCATATATAAAAAGTAATACAGACCTTGCACTGTGGCTCACGCCTGTAATCCCAGCACTTTGGAGGCCAACCTGAACAGATCGCTTGCGGTCAGGGGTTGGAGACTAGCCTGGCCAACATGGTGAAACCCTGCCTCTACTAAAAATACAAAAAGTGAAACCCTGCCTCTACTAAAGATACAAAAATTATGGGCATGGTGATGGGTACCTGTAATCCCAATTTTTGGGGAGGCTGAGGCAGGACAGTCGCTTAAACCTAGGAGGCAGAGGTTGCTGCGAGCTGAGATTATACCACTGCACACGAGCCTGGGCAACAGAGCAATCAGAAAAATAAAGTAATTCAAAATGGATCATAATCCTACAAATCTAAAACTTCTAAAAGAAAAGATAGGAGAAAGTCTTTGTGATGTTAGATTAGGCAAAGATTTCTTAGCTGTGATACCAGAAAATCCATAAAAGAACAAAATGATAAAATAGACTTTAATAAAATTTTAACTTCTTTTCATCAAAAGTCAGAATAAAAAGATTAGCTACAAACTGTAAGAAAATATTTGCACAGCAGGTATCTGATGAACAACTTTTATTCAGAATATATCCGACATTTGTATTCAGACTATATAAAGAATTCTCAAAACTCAGTTATAAGAAAACAGTGTTATTTCTAAAAGTAGACAAAATATTTGAGCAGGCATTTTCTGAAATAATGTCTGAAATATATGAAAAGATACTCTAGCCAGGCTTGGTGGCTCATACCTATAATCCCAACATTTTAGGTGGCCTAGCCTGGAGGATCACGTGAGCCCCGGAGTTTGAAACCAGCCTATGCAACATAGTAAGGCCCCATCTCTATAACAATTTTTTTAAAAAAGTTAGCCTGGCATGGTGGCATATGCCGGCAGTCCCAGCTACTTAGAAGGCTGAGATGGGAGGATTGCTTGAGCCCAGAAGGTTGAGGCTGCAGTGAGCCCTGATTGTGCTACTGCACTCCAGCCTGGGCAACAGAGCAAGACCCTGTCTCAAAAATAAAAGATACTCAGCATCATTAGATCGTTAGGGAAATGTAAATTCAAACCATCATGAGATACCCCTACATATGATTATAATGGCTAAGGGTACAAAGACCATGCTAAGTGTTGTCAAGATGTGGAAGAATATCATTCTCATATGTTAAAAACATGGAAAAATTAGGGCTCTCATGCTGCTGATGGAAATGTAAAATGGTACAACCACTTGGAAAAGTGTTTGATAGTTTTCTCAGAAATTTAAACATAAACTTACACTGTGATCCAGTGAGTCCAATTTTAGGTTTTTACCTAAGAGGAAAGAAAGCATATGCCCATACAGACACTTGTATATGACTGACAGCTTCATTTGTAACAGCCAAGAACTGGTAACAACCCAAATATTCATCAACAGGTGAATGTGTAAAACAAATTGTTGTATATCTATATATGATGGAGTAAAAAGGATTGAACTATTGATACAGAGGCAGTGACAGTCATGATTCTCAAAATAATTATACTGAATGAAGGAGTCAGACAAAACTGAATATGTATTACATGATTTCATTTATAAAAAACTCCAGAAAATGCAAACTACTTTATAGTGATAGAAGACATATCAGAGATATTACCTAGGGTGGGGCAAGAGAGAAAGATTACAAAGAGGTAGGGAGAAACTTTGGGGGATGATTGATATATTTACTATAGAGTTAATGATAGTTTTATGGCTGTATAAACTTAGAGTGTGAACCTTATGTGTACTTTATTGTGTGTCAGTTATACCGTAGTAAATCTGCTCACCATGTTATATAACATACACTAATAACTGCAAGAATTTTTAGTGGTTATAAATATGATTTATTTAACGTTATAATGAATTCATTCTTCAGGACTGAGTGGTGGCAACATGCAGTATACTCAGTGATACACTTTAGTGTTTGAAGTAGTAGAGAACTATGTTTATTAAGAATATTTGGTAATAAAGTAGCTTTTACCTTATTTTAGGATAAACCCTACTTTCAAAATATACTTATGCAAATTGCAGCTTCCTAAAGAAAATTAGTCTTTCTTCTGAGTGCATTCCTTCATATTTTGTTCACATTAGGTTAAAACAGTAACTTAAAGAATTTTAAAATAGCCGTAAAGAATAATCTAACTTTATTTTGGAACTTACAAATGTATTATGTATTCAGGAACTTAGTTGGAGTAAATGTTTAATGGTTATGTTTTCATTTTGGATAGTATGCACTGGAACGGCTGAAGGTCATGTGCGAAGAAGCTTTGTGTAGTAACCTCTCAGTAGAGAATGTTGCAGATACCCTTGTCCTTGCAGATTTGCACAGTGCAGAACAGTTGAAAGCACAAGCCATAGACTTTATTAATAGGTAAGCTATGCTTGTATTTCAGTGGGCATGACACCTTCAATATTTTTTCACCAGACTTTTTTTTAAGTATGTTTAAATCTTCAATGCAGGTGCAGTGTACTTCGACAGCTTGGGTGTAAAGATGGGAAAAACTGGAACAGCAAGTAAGATGACATCAGTTTCTGACTTAAAATTGGTCTCCATAAATGAAATTAAGTGTTTGCATAGCCTTTTGTTCAGCTACAATAAGTATGAATCCAGATGTTGTATGATGCAAACTGCCAGTTATTAAAAACAAACAAAGACTACTTAGTGGATTCCTGAGGCTATGCTCCCTTGTAGATCAGCTTCTAGTGCAACCCGGGATGGATGCTGTAATTTTTTAAGTGCATAATGCCGTGTGGTATATACCTAAGTCCCAAGTATTGCTAGAGATCCGATCCCTGCTCCTCCAGAAAGCATTTCAAAAAGTGTGGGAAATAATTCACTTACTCCTATGAGGAATGTTACCCTACAGATTTGCTTAGAAAGCCTTTAAAAGTACCTTGAGTAATATGCTACATTAGGCTAGCTTCTTAATATTCCAAAAATGTTAGCAATATTCCCTTTTCCTAGTGAACCTATAAAGGGTTGGACAGTTGCTATACTTTCTAAAACTGGATCTTGTAAATATGAACATACTATTCTACTTTTTTCCCTTCTCTTATTTTTCATGACTTTTCTATTCTTTGTAACTATTTGAAATCAAAATGGGGAAAGAGTCAGTAGGTTGAAGTTTTTGTATCTGCTGTTGATTAGTTTTGCCTATAAACTCTTAAATTTCATTTCCTCAAATTATCCAAAGTTGATGTAAGAAAGTGGGCAAAAAGGAAATTTTCAAATAGTGAAATGAATTAATTTGTTGACTTAATTATTTCCCCTTGCTTCCATCTGTGTTGATTTATGTGAAGTTGTTTAACTGAGTCCATCCTATTAGTTTGTGGATTAATGTGTTTTCTGAAAGTAAAAAGTAGTGACTACTTTAAAATTATTGGTTGTCTAGTATAATATGTTGACCAGTGTATGCTAATATGATATAATCATAATATTTAATCTTAGAGAAAACTTGTTTTGAATTTAAAGTATACTATATTAGCATCAAGCGGCAATTTATGACCCTTTGCTTTTCAAGCTCTAGGTTGACTCTAAGGAAATACTTTACATTTTATAACTTTTTCAGTGTCAAAAATTAGCTTGTTTTGTACCTTTTGGAGAAGCTGTATTGTATTCATATTCATCAATAGATATTTATTGAATTAATAAATGAAGTCAGGTATAATAGGTATCTATGTGATTCTAAACAACTAATTGGAATTTTAAGCACAGTGACACACTGGTATTCGGCTGATGGAAAAGTAATTGCGGTTTTTGCCATTATGGATTTTGCTATTACTTTTAATGGCAAAAAAAGCAATTACTTTTGCACCAACCTAATTTTTTGATGTTTGCCAACTTAAAAAATTGTTTTGTTGGTATCAGCTGCTATTTAATTCAGCAAACATTATTCTAGCATCTTCTGTGTTTCAAGCACAATACTAGGGTGCTGCGTGTAAAAAGAATTTCAAGGGAAAATTCTTGGTCTTGAGAAAGTTATCCAATAGTTCTATAAATACATCATTTCATTATAGTGTGGTAAGTAATATAATAGAAGAGGATATGTACAAGCACTTGACTAACCCTGGAAATTTAGAAATGGCTTCCTGGAGATAACTGAGTCTTAAAACACAAATAGGAGTTAGCAGAACTAAAAAGGAAGTAGCAGGCATTGCAGACAGAAAGGACAGCATGAACTGAAGTATGGAAGTGTGAAGTAATAGTTGATCATTCATTTGACGGATACTTATCTTTTATTATCCAGTAAATTCCCAAGGCACAGTACTCAGAATAGAGAATACAGTGGTGAGCATGACATATATTTTCCCTGCCTTCATGGAGTTTATGGTCTAGGAGTAGATTGATTAAACTGGTCATTGTAGAATATGTAGCATACCCATAGTAGCATATAGCAGGGACCTAACCTAATTGTTATAAAACTAAATACTTGAAATATTGGTGAAGAAGAGGGAAGAGAGGAAGAAAAGTATACCCCAGAAAAAGGAAATGAGATGCACAAAGTTTTAATGATGACGGAGAGCAGTATAGAGTGTCTGTGTGTGTCTCTGTGTTGTGATGGGGAGGTAGGTAATGAGAAGAAGCTGGAGAAAATAGGCAGAGATAAGATCCTGAAAGGCCATGTAAAATAACATTAGAATTTTTAGATATTATTCAGAGTAGTGGGTATCCAGCAAAGGGTTTTCACACAGGGTGGGACCTGATTAGTTTTGCATTTTTAACAATCTCTGCATGCAGGTGGAGAATGGATTGTGGGGAGATTAGGGAGGTGATAGTAGTTGAGGAACCAGGTTGAATACAGGTAGACCAGTTGGAAAGTTACTGGAGTAGTTCAGGCAAGAGATGAACGGTGGAAATTAAACTTTGTTCGTGACAGTGGGGCTAGAGAAAAAAGAAAGAAATATTTTGAAGGGAGAATCTATAATATTTAGATATTATTTAGATGGTTGGGATAAAGGAGAGACAGGAGGCAAGGAATGGTAACTAGATTCGTTGCTTGAGCATTTACTGTTATTTTTTGGTGAGAGCATAGTGTACATACAGTACACAATAAGCAGTTCAATATCAGAGTATAAAATGGCAGATCGTGGGAGTGGGAGGTAGGAAGTGGGGAGTAATACAGGAAACCAAACATAATATAATGCCATATTTCTCTAAAGAACTTGGATATGGGCAGTGGGGAACAATGAAGAGGGCCTCATATAGTCATATTTGTGTTACCAAGGTAACATTATGAAAGCTTGGTTTGAGAGGAAGGAGCAGGAGGCTAGAAGACCGCTTAGGAGTCTGTTGTCATATTTCAAACATGAGATGATATGGGCCTTAAACTGGGATTCAAGACATCTTGGAAGCCTTTCAAACCTTAAAATAAGGTTTTGATGATTGGAGAGGAGAGTCTAGGGTGACTCCCAGATTTCTGGCTTGCATCACTGAATGATGGTAGAAGGGTTAGCTGACTGGAAAGGTAGAAGGAAGAATTTGGGGCTTCAGGAGAGGTATGATGAGTTCTCATCTGACAGTCCTGAATTTACGGGTCTTGAGGCACATCCAAGTGAAAAAAGCAAGTGGTTGGGAATGAATCTTGTGTGGAGCCCTAGAATTTAGCATATTGGTAGTTAACATCATTGAATTTCATAGTTAAAATTGTGAAGAGTGGATAAGATAGAATGAATAATGCATGTTACGGGAGAAGAGTAGGGTGCAGTATTTGTAACTTGAGAGAAAATCTGCCTTACAAGAGGCATGTAAAAGAATAGAAAGGGGCTCTTGAAAGAGCTGGTACAGAAATGGTAACAATGAGAGTTGAAGTATGAAGACCCATGTCACATACTTTAAGGGAGTAGAAGTTCCAGAAAAATTTAATAGTTTCAGTTGCCACAGAAAATACCAGTAAGGTAAAGATATTTTAATAAAAGCAGTTGATTTGAATACATAGGTAAAAAGTATTCAAATATTTTGAAATTTGCAAGTTTTTAAAAAATTGACAGTGCAACAGTGCATTTTGAAAAGTATTCTTTAGTAAACATCTTTTAATTCTACTTTTCAGCCAAGCAACCGACATAATGGAAACATCGGGGTGGAAGTCCATGATTCAGTCTCACCCTCATTTAGTAGCAGAAGCCTTTCGAGCACTAGCATCTGCACAGTGTCCACAGTTTGGCATTCCACGCAAACGGCTAAAACAGTCCTGAAATCTTCCATGAACAGTTGAAAAATGGAATTGACTTTTACTCCTCCAGGTCCAGAAGGATTCTAATATACAAACCATAAGCAAGAATTGTTTCTGTTATTTTGTCCACAGAACAGAAGCTGAAAAAGCATATTGCTTACATTTCAGGTGGATAATGTATGGTTTATTCTTCAGCTTTAAATTAGACTGATTAATTCACTTCAAGGCCTTAAATTATCTTCAATGACTTCTCTTGTTCATCTACTTTAATTTTTTTTTATTGTGCCTTGTCATTTTGACCAAGGCTATGCAGGATTGCACTAGCTCCATAATGCAGTAATATTGATAACTGAAGATACTAAGTTTCAAAAGGATCTTCCATTATTTTGCAAAAAGAAAGTGAATTTTATAGGTTTTGTCCTATGCTATCTCAAAGTTTAAAACTAAGTTCTCTGTAAAAGCACTTGTATTGGAGATTACCAGTAATGTCTCCAATCTAAGTTCTATAAATATGGGAGAACCCACTTACCTTCAAGGTAAGTTATGGCAATACACTGACTGCTTCAATTCTAATTTATTTTTCATTTCAGGGGGCAAATATGCAATGAGTTGGCCCAGATTTTTAGTAACATTTGTGATGTTTGTCTTGTATGTTAACTGTCCAATAGCTGTGGGTTTATTCTAAGTTTACAATGATTGAGAACTGATTGAGGTTAAGATTTCATGAAGAAAGCATGTATTGTGTGGAAGTAATTTTTTTTATACTGACCTACATTTATATGAAGAGTTCTGTACATGTTAAAAGTAAGGATGACCAAATGTAAATTTAATGAGTGGGCCAATTAAGACAGACATATATGCACTTTTACTGTGTAACTTTTGTATGCTGAATGGTACATATTTTTTTTGCTTTTGAGGAAATTAATAAGGTATAATTAATTGTGTCTTAACTTTTGAAAGAAATTTTTAGATGGAGGCAACTGGGATGTTTGTGATAATAGATAAGAAAGATATTCTTGATTGTAGTTAAATTGGTTTGGATTACAGATATTCGTTATTGAATTGACTCCTGTTTTCTCACACTTTGGAAAAGACACCTGAACAATAAATTAATCCTGGATAGTCTACACTCCTTCAAACAGTGGACTGATACTTGCCTGTGGGAGATACATACAAAAGGAGAAAACCCTTAGACTATGTCAGGTCACACTATGAACCTCCCCCCACTCCCCGTTTTTCTTCATTGTGTTTCAGTTACTGTACTAACATTGTGGATGATACTGAAATTCTGCATAATGTGAAGAGGATAAACTATTTATAAACTGCTTTTCATGGGCCAGTTCTTTATTATAAGTGAATTTTAGCTTTAAATACATATAAACATTCAGTGTTTGATAGTTGTATTCCTAAGGGAGGTTTGTTCTGGTGCATTGTCCTGGAGAAGCGGAAGCAGTCAGTGTCAGGGCACCACATCTCACTTACTTTGGTGGTGACAATGTGCTTCTTAGGCAAGATTTATATTTGACCACAAGGGAAAAAGTGTGTCACTGGAAAAAAATGCATATACCTATGTTTGCAAACATAACTTTATTCTTCAGATGAAAATTTGTATAATTTGTTTATTTAATGTTTGAATTCAGGACAAAAGAAAAAATGAAGCTTGAGGTTTTCAAATAGACTATTTTTGCTGTCTTTTTGTTAGGTGTTAACTGAAGCAGTTCTAATATATACAGATTCATATTTACATTGAAAAAACTCAAATAAGCATTTGTTATCCACAACAACCTGGAGTTTAAAAAGATCGTATTTTCACCTGTCTTCATTATTTTCTATATAATTTCATTATTTGTCATGGTAACTTAAATTTGAAATTGGAAGAATCTCTTGGGATAGAAGAAAGATTCTTAACCTGGTTGATGGACTTCATCTTTCATCCTGTGTAAGGATATTATGGGAAGTAGAAATTCACTTCCTTAAATCCATCATGAGATCGAGCCTGTTAAGTTTGCAATATACAATTTTAAAAATACACATACACACATACATACATATACATTTTCAATTTAAGATTTTGCCAGGGTCTTACACAAAAACTCCCTCAGGCTATAGAGTTATGTTGTCATATATCAGAAAAGTACTGATGTATCCATTTATATCCAATGCACACCACACCGGCACATTGTGAATTAATTCACCGCTTGAATCTATATTTCTAACCACAGTGACTTCGGTAAAAATACCATATAATAAACATTTCAGCTTGTTCTTACTTACTCGAGAGTTTATTGCAAATCTTAAGGATTTTATTATGAAGTTTTTTTTTAGTTTGGTAGCACATTTTGTACCAAAAATGTCAAACACTGTGCTGTAAGAATATCCATGTTTGTAGAAATGTCCACTTTTCAGATAATATAATGCCTACCATTATACTAACAATATCATATGGTAGTTGATTTATTTTTTTATTTATTATGTATATTTTTGGTATTGTGGGTTCTTGAGGCAATGATAAAAACACTTAATGTATTCTGACATGAGTGGTCTAATAGCCACCTTCCCCTCATTTTTAAATGGCATACATTACTTTCAAAATAGGCATAGATATTCTCTCCAGCCTTTTGAACTAATTAGCCTGTTCCTGTTTCCCTTTGTCACCTAAACAGGGCGTTTTCTGAGAAAGTAGGGAATGGTTTGAAATGTTATATGCTATAAAAATAATCATTGGGTAACTGTTGTTTAGACCGACACTTAGAAATGCTATATTTGTGCCTTTTTCATTTTTTAATTTTAATGTATGTTGATATTTGGAGCACAAATAATGAAGGTGCCATAATATGGCTTGCCAATGTTACCTCCTTGAATAGTCATGTGTCATTGTCTTGAAATGGTAATTGGAGAACTTTGCATGAAATATGTGATCGCACGTGTGTGTGTGTGTGTGCGTGCGCGCGCGTGTGTCTGTGTGTGTGTACATACCTGTATTTGCTGGGCCTTGTGTGTGGTACGTTAAAATGAGTGAATTTCTGGAAATAGAAATCAGTTAAATGTTGAAAGTTCAGGTTAGCTGAAATATTTCATTTAAATGGGCTTTATTTTGGAGGACAATTGATTAATAAAAGATGATACTTTTCAAAAATGTGATCAATTTACTGCATGATGAAATGTGAAAACAGTGCCTTTTTAGGACATCAATCATAATAAAATTGTTTTAAAATATTAACAAAGATCTCAAAAAGTTGTCGTGAACATTATTGGTTTATTTTTAAACTGGATCTAAGTAAGAGCTTGGATGGCCAAAAGTAGAATTAATAATGTATTTACCCGTTTAAATTTTGTGCATAGGTTTAAAATCTTAATCAGAATTCTTTATTAAATGTGGATCATAGATATGACCCAGTGTTACTAAAATAGAACAGGGATTGAGAAAATCCAATTCAACATACTTAAGTATATTTGACTTAGAGCCAAGTATGCTTGAAGAGGTGAATTATTCCGACTTGGACATGCATGCTCTTTGCTGGATAAGATAAAAAGATTCAATGTATTCTTTAAAAAGAAGATGGGTAGGTGAGTGGGTTTGTTTTAGTGTTCTCAGATTATAAAGACAGCACTTTCTGCACACATAAGTGTATTTTACAAACCTTTTTTATACAAATTAATGAGCTCTCCTTTATTTAACTGTTCATGGAATGATGTAAATTTTAGGTCCAGTTGAACAAATACTGAGTGCCTACCATATGCAAGACTTCCTCCTTACTAGGAATGAAATCACACAGTGTCTTCTGTTTGCAGTATGTGAACTTTATGTTTGAAAAGAAATTCTTATATTTAAATATTTCTGTTGTCAGTTTATCATTGTATACTGTAAACCCAGTAAATTTTGCATTGTTTTAAAATATGAAGATATAACTTGCGTAAGTCTCATTTTTGAAAATGAAGTTCTGCCAAAATTATTTAAAAATTAGTTCTTGGGGAAATTGATTTTCAAGATTCAAATGTATAAAAACTTATATTGAACCAGCCTCGTTTTTAATTAGCTGATGTTAATGATAAGATACATAATACTTGTATCTTGTTGCTGAAAATATTTTTTGCATTTCAGTACATTGAGTTAAAATAAAGTTGTTACTACTTATTCAGAATTAATTGGCTTATCTTGTGTTTATTTGAAAAATACCTATTTTTTTAAGATTGGTGTAATGCTTCGCAAAAGAGCCATGTATTTTATATGATAAATCATGCATAGTAAGAGTCTTTTCTACGTTGGGAAGCTCTTATTTTTGGGGACCTACTAAATACATTCTTAACTGTGAAACGTTAATATGCATTTATTTTAATATGCATGAACTATCAATATTGAATGACTTATTCTAATGCTACATGCCATCAGTGTAACACTTAGAGATCACCTTTTCCCTGTCATTCCTATCCCATCCTAATTTCAGTTATCCCAGACGATTTAATCATTTGATGCTATCAAAAAGCAGATTGGGGCAGGATATTCTTGAACCAATTTAATAACAGTAACACAATTAGTCCTTTAAAATTATGACCAATGTAGTAGTAGAAAGGCACAGTGAAAAACCTTCCATGTACCCTAGACATACATATATGCACTGAGTTTTCCTTAATAGAATAAAAGAGGGTTGAAAAATTTAGAACATTGTCTATGCAAGTATAGTAAAATAGGATAAGTGATTAATAATATTCTAAATTTTACTAGTGAACTCTATATAGCCTTTTGCTTCCTACGTTGCTGCGGGCAGCCCCCTTAATACTTTGAGAATACTGGGGTGTGATGTCTTCATCTATCACCTCAGAATCATTTGTTCCTAAGATAAGGCCAGAAGTGGCATTTGTTTGATCACTGTTTTTAAATAGAAGACACATTGGTAGAAATCTTTCACATAATATGTTGTTGCTTTTGGGGGGTGTTGGAGAGTACCAGAGAGGTCGGCATGCATCTGCAATGTACAGTGGCAAACAAAAGGTTTGTCATTCCTGTTGTGCTTCCTTTCCACCTCTCCTCGCTGTTTCCCCACCCCCTTGTTCATTTTATAAAGGATGCAGGTGTAGCCTTGTGCCAGTCTGTGACGTAACAGCTGAACAGTTCCTATGATATCCTACCCATTTGCTCATATTCAAACCTGGCCTTAATAGATAACTAAAGAAAAAAATGTGGGACCTGTAAATAACAATTGCAACAACAACAAAAAAGTGGACCAAGGACTCTACTTTTCACTTTGCTCTAAAATAGATATATTGTCATAAGCAGAGGTTTTTAGACAGTGTATTTTATAAAGTCCTAAAAAATTGTGATGGTCATTATGAAAACTGAACAGGCAACGATGAAGAATGAGAATGGTATGCAATTGAAAAAGGCTAGTAAAGTTAG